TACTTGTTTGGGCTCCTTAGTTACATACTCATTTACTTGGACAAATTGAAAGATGAGGTTTAGTTCCTGGAATTTCAGATAAATTTATTTTATCTCAGGTTCCCTTTTGCTCAGTCTATCTACTTTATAGCTACAGAGACAGTCTTTGAAAAATGCAATAGAAACCATATTGGCAAGGATGTCTACACCTGATTATGTTACACCAAATAAGATTCTGTGGGTTTTAATACATTTTTCTAGATTTCCTTAGATCTAAATTGTGTACAATGTCTAATTTATGCAACTTTGCTTTGCATATCACAAGGGTTAAGGACAAGCTTTCGCAATGACACATACAGTCAGGGAATTGTGAAGTGCACCAGACAGGTTTCAGACTGCCAGGAGTAAGACTAAGTTTGTAAAATTATTTAGATTATTAAAAATCAAGGCATTTTAACCAGAATTTGCAAACACGGCTAAGCAAGTCAACTGTCAAACTCCATTTAACAGGTTTGGAATGATGGGCCAGACCCCAGAAGAGGCTCACATGTTTGGACGCTAAATATTATGAAGCCCAAAAGTCAGGCACCAGCTGTGGACTCAAAAAACAGAGCCAGAATATATAACACACACAAACAGAAGGAGCTACAGCTAGCCAACGTGAATCACTGCCAAAAGGGATGAGTCTGAAATTCTCCCTCTTCTCTGGACATAACACTTCTCCAGGGAAGAAGCACACTGTGGCCAAAATCCCCTCCTGAATCCAGGAATGTATGTGCACACATACTTATGTCCAGGCCACAGATTCTGGCCATTTTTTTTTCCAAGACAGAAAGCAGTCACCTCCCACTATCCACAGAGTGTCACAGTAGAGAACACGGCTTAGGTATGGCCTTTCTTGATCTTGATGGCTGCCAAACAAAATACTGTGTTTATTTATCTAACATGGGTGGAGGTAGTGCACTCTTTCAAATGAGATGATATTGCCTACCAGCATATTTTTTGTCCAGACTGATTCATGGTCAACCAGTGATCAAGCACTGGGTTTCAGTAATGGAAATGTTGTTTGTGCTTCAACTAAAATAAGCTGGCCACTGAGCCAGGCACAGCCATGCTAGAAACAGAGGCACTACGTGGTTGCACACCATGTCCATGTTGTGCACATAAAAGGATACCTACCCTCCATGTTGGCACACATCCACAGACAGGTCTGATGAAAACCAAGGCTGCAGATGAGAGGATATATGGAAAAACTGCTGAATAACTCAATATTTCTCTTGTTTTGGAAGAGCTGGAGAGCTGCAATGCTATAATGGCAAGGCATGGGCTTCTAGGCCCAAAATTCACCATCTCCTCCTGAAGTATCCCTGCGTGGAGCAGGCAGTAAAGCACTATTGGAAATTATCCATTCTCAGCCATATATGAGTAGCCATCAGCTGAGAGGGAGGTTAGCTTTACCTGTTAGCAAATACCACTGAAGGAGGTCTAAATTAATTGGGCTTACCTCACTGGTTAAGGCACAGACTGAGAATGCTGTTGTACTTCATCTGAGGCTCAACAGCTCTCACACTTCTACTCAATCACTTCTGAATGTATTACCAATTTAAATCCCTGTGGAAGTGTAAGTCTGAGATACCCAAACTTGGGCCTCAACAAACAAAGCTTTGATTAAATAATTATTCAAGTCTATTCTTTATTCCAGGATAAAATATTTTCAAGATAAGTTGGAGGTCTGTTGATGAACCAGCATTTGGATACTGAAGCTATCATTGTGCATTTCCTAGAGTCATACTGAAATAAACTATAGACTGTAATTTCAGATTTTAAAACAGCAAGGATGCTTTTTGCTTCAGATATTCTGTGGACTTCAACTGAATTTATAAAAAGAAGTGGTCAGCAAGTCCAAGTCACATGAGAAACTTGGCTGAGAAGTCCAAAGGCTGAAGTACAAATTCTTCCTTTGTGTTTCCTTTGTCATACTTCGCCTTTTCCAGCTGTCAGCAGTGAAGCTTCGCTGAAAATGTACTTTCTAGGGCAGTTTTCCATTAATTTTTATTCCCACGTATTCCAAAGTGAGAATACTCTAGGGACAACATGATAGTCTGAACAACTGCTTCATTCCTGTCAGCCTTTTTTTAACTGTAAGACACAAGTTTGCAGGTCCTCTTACATTCATTCACTTACTGTGTGTCTGTAACATCTGTAGCAGTGCAGGAAAGTCTATAGGAGCAGACAGTTTACCTTATGGCAAATTCCAAGGCAGTATTTAAAGTTCAAATGAAATTCCAGCTTTCAAAGTAGGAGGTTTAAGGAAAAAAAAAAGTCCCAGGTCTGTCAGTGAAAAGTTTAATTATGGACAAGATGACACACACGTTAAGTAAAGCCCACAAAGGCAGAAACACCACTGTGGAAGCACATTCCAATAAAATCTTAAAAGACTACTTTAATAATAAACCATGCATTCCTGAGCAAGCCATCGCAAGATTAGCTACCAGATTGCTTTGCTGCAAGCAGATTTTGCACAAACTGTTATTGATACCGCTTTCGAGGCATTCATGAAAGTTGATGTCTTCCAAAGGTCTCTGCACTTTGGTGGTTTTTTTCATGCTGCTACCCCTGTTTCTACCCAGACTGGAATCCCAATGATCCTAATGACAGTCTGTGGTTTGAGCAGTGTTAACGTCCGGAAAAGCTATAGAAAAACTCACAGAGGTGAAGGTTTCCAGCTGCAACTTCAAGATAATTTTAGACCTGCTGAAAAAAGGCTTGTGTTTGGGAAGTGCTGATACTGATACTGTTCTGTACAAAAAGCAGTTAACTTCAACAAAAAAATCCTTGGGTAGAGACTGAGCCTGTGCCAGCAATAGTAAAATCAGACACAAAAAATATAAGAAAAAAGTCATCACTCTGGGAACGATAGCGCTGCCTCTGTACTGTAATGTTTTAATAGTCAGTTTTAGAGTCATAACAGCCATTGTCCTCTTGATTCTGGGTTTACTGTAGAGAAATAGAAATGCTTTTACTTTTCATAAACTGCAAAGCAGGTCCTCTAATTACTGCTCTGCAGTATAGATGAAATAATTGAATTCCTGTGGGGCTTTCTGCCTGGATTCCTCCTGCATTTGGTAGGCAATCCTATTACATATGTTTAATGTAACAGTTCTGAATTTTACCATGTATCTTAACAATGAAGGACATCAGGGAGCTGTTCTAAGTTGATTTACTAAATAGATAGTGCATTCCTTCAAGGCTTGAGATTTTTTATTTTCTAAGAAAACTGTAACTTTCAAGTTAGTTATTAAATACTTTTCAGTAAAAAAGTTTTCCTGTGAGGTTCTTAGTGATGTCCTAACTGGGGGTACATAGTGAAGGACCTCTTGCTATTTCTATAGTAGATGTAATTTCATTGCTCCTCAAAAGGGTTCTTGAAAAGCATTTCCATCTCTTCCAAATTCAACAACAAATAGTATAAATCATATTTGTAATCATTAGTTAAACTAGTGAAGGTTATTTCAGTGAAATGTGCCTGAGGATTGTGTTGGGCAAAGCACAAATGATAATCCTGCTTATGCCAGTATCAGGCTGGCCCGTTTTATAGAAGTTGCTTTGTTACTGCCCTGTGTTTAAACTAGGCACAACGTCATCCTTCATGTGAGGCAGTCTGTGTGACTCCCGTAAAGCACGCTGAGCAAAGTATTATTCTTTAAAATACACATTGCCCTAGGACCACGAAGCTCCAGTCCTGCTGTGGGTGTTTAGCACAAGTTGTTCAAAACAATGTACAGTGGAGTGCAAGCTGTACAAAACCAACATTGTTAAACATGCATATGACTGTGTCCCAAGGAATTCAGATATAATCCTGCAAGTACCAATGTGTGTGTAGCCAGCAACCTGTTAATTTTAGCAAATGCCTCCTTACTTACGCGGCATGCACTTCCTACCGTGAACACTAGGCTAGTATATAAAAACACGTCCCTCGTGTCCTTTTTGGTTAAAATAAGCACTTCTCAAATGAAAGACAGACACAGGCAAGTGAGACACAACTACCAGCTTTTCATCGCCTCAGGTACAGGGAGGAATAGCACACTTCTACTATTCATAAAAAAATGATAAATACCATGCCTTATCTAGGAAAGTGGGGTATCATTGAGGAGCTTTGGATGAGGATGATTGCCAAATGCATCCACCAGTTTTGAACCCCGAACTACTTGGTGGTAAAATAATTTTGTGTTAAATATTTCCTCATTTGAAAAACTTCAAAATAACTATCAAATGTATTCAACCTGTAGAAAATTGAATATTGCAATATAGGCAAATGTCATAATTTTAAACAGAAATATTTTACACTGTTCTGAGAAAATAAATGTTAAGTTAAATTTACAGTCTTGAGAACAAAAAAAAAAAAGAAAGTTCTGCTACAAGGACAAAAATGTGATTTTTTATCAGAGCCTCTTTCATACAAGTTGGAAAGCAGCTGTACTGCTCTGGGAAACAAAATACGATAGATGTTGGAATAAAGATGAGTGAGAAGTACAAAGGTCAGTTCTGGATGTGACCCACAAACTGAATTGCACTGACCCACTATTTCAGTTCGGTTAGCCACAGATTTGGGGATGACGGAGGAGGTAGAGGGTGGTATTTTGTTTTCGTGGGTGTCAGAGAAAAAAAATGGGAAAAAAAAAAGAAAAAAAAAAGAAAAACACTGTTGGTTTGGGCTTGGAATTTTTAGCACCATCACCGCACCCAGGTTCGTGAAGGGGATCTGTTTTCTAGAAAAGCGTGCTGGGCCCATTGCTGCCTGAGAAGGACAAGTACCTGTGCCCTGCAAACTGTGGGTGCCACAGGATTCCCTGACACCGCAGGGTCCACCGTTTTCCCATCGCACCCTCCTTCCCTCCCCGCGTGTCCTCCCTGGGGCTCCCGCCCCTCCGTGCGGGGGCTGTGCGGGCCCAGCTGCCTCCCACCCCCGCAGCAGGGGCCGGAGCCGGCGACTCGCAAGGAGTTAATGTTGTGAGAACCGACACGTTGAGGGGGAGTAGCCAAGACCAAGCAGCAAAAACATCATAGCGCATTCCTGGGTAGTCCTCAGCTGCCAGCATCTGATTAAAACCATATCGCTCGCTGTGAGTGGCTAACTAATCTGAAGGCGATAGTGCAACAGAATATTTAACCGGGCCCGCGGTCCCAGTCAGGCTACCGGCTGCGGTCACTGGATCATGCTCGGAGCGGCACGGATCTAACCCGTAAGGAGCTTTGCGAGCAGGGCTCGGCTCTCGCACAACCCGAGGAGGCGGGGGGGTGGCGGAGGTGGGATGGGGGTGATGAGAGGGGGAAGGAGCTGTCACCGGGGAAAGAGGGGGACACAGCTTTTCCCAGGAGGACGTGACAGCTGGTGGCTGTGGTAGGGCGGGGATGATACCCCTGCGGGGTGGGCGCTAACACGGGTGAGGCGCCGGAGGGGCTGCGTGCGGCCGGGCCGGGGCTCGGCTCATCCCCGCTTGCTGCCCGCATCCCGCATCTCCCGCGGGAAGAGGCGCCGGGGGGGCTTCGCTGCCGGAGAGGCGGCGGCGATGGGGCTGCCCCGGTCCCGGCCCCACGGAGGGTCCCGGGCTGCGCGGGAACGTGTCCTGGCCGAGGCGGGGTGGAAGCCGCCGGCATCCTGCTCCCGGCTCCGGCAGGACTGGCAGCTGGGGGGAGACAGGAGCGCAAAGCAAAATAAACGTACAGTTTCAGTTTTGTGTGTGGAGAAGGAGGAGGATTCAAATTATTAAATATAGTAAAAATTAAATGTATAAATGCTAAATTTCACATAAACACCTTTTATGAAAGAATCTCTCTAGCAGCAGAGATTAGCACAGGATGCTGTGAAGCCGGGGTAAGGTTTTGTTTTGGTTTTGGATGGAGTATCTTTGCTGCGCACCCTCTGTCTGCCGATGAATTTCAGGATGCTACTTCTGCCTATGGTAAATGGGTATAGCTATTGATGTTGTGGATTATCTAGAATGAATCTTCTACCTGGACTGAGAAACTGACTTCTCAGGTGGTGTGTCATGAAGTTAATCATACGGTGGCACTTAAATTGGGATAATGTCTGTGCACTGGGTCATGGGATTAATGCAGGTGTTGCCAATATAGCTTATCTTCTTCAGCTGGGTGTCCCTGTAGCAGAGCTTTTACCTCTCAGAAAAGCTGAGTCTGATTACCTGAACACTTAGTAGGAAAACATGCAAATCCACTGGTAAGATAGGATTAACTTGATTTTTTTTTTCTTTTTTTGTGAATGGGAAATTGTTTAAATCTTCTCTTAATGAAGCTAGTTTGCCTTAAAAGGCTATATTTTTGCTTCAGAAGTCTTCTAAAAGGCTGCCCAAAATGAACCAAATCTGAGAGTATGCAGGTTTAGATTTACCCACTGTATGCTAAAGAATGGGCATAAGTAAGTATGCTTGGGGATGGCAACATCTGTGTAAATTGACAAAATAGAGATGCAGATTCAATTACAGAAAATTAATTATGAAGCTGTGTATTCCAGTTGGCTGTGAAGTCTTGCCAGGCAATGTTAAATTGAAAATACGTCATTGTGTCTGGTAGTGACCTGCTCTGCAGTTATAATGCTAGTGATATTCCTGTGACTTATGGTACTTCTCATCTCTTGTGCTCTTACATTAAATAAAGCTATTGGATGAGCACCAGGGGTTGTGCTCAGAACTATTGGTTGGAAGGATGGGCCAAATGCCAAAAATCTGGCATCAGTTTCTTTTTGTGAAGGTGGAGATGACTGTCCAATCTAACATAGGCCTTCTGCTACATTGCTAAGAATTTCTATACAACTGCAGTGCACAATCCACTTGTTCTCATTGAGTATTGCTTGTCAAAGTACCTGTATAACCCTGTTATTGCACACTGCAGGCCAGTAGCTGCTATGGATATACTTTTATAATTCTTACTTAAGGCCTTTATTTCACAAGCAGATATGAAAAGAAACACTCTAAGCATAATATATGCAAAGGGTAGATTTTTGTCTCTGCGGGAAAGCAAATAAATGCAATTAGTGTCAAGGAAGGGTGACTCAAGGGCTAATGCTTAAAGAATTAAAGAATGTTTAGAATAAAAATTATAGCTTGAGATACAAAGTAATGAAAGTGCACAATACACTGTGGTCATTGAGTGTTGCTGCCAAACACATAGATTTTTCTCTCCCACTGATGCTTTCCTTTCCTGGTAAACTTTATACTGCTAGGACATTTGTGTGACCTGCTGGGTTAACCCAGTCCTTGGGAATGCTTGTGGACTTTATTCAGCAAGGCTAGCAATATTCTGAGTACTACAGAAGCATGAATTTGCTTGTACAATGAGGCAATAAATTCCACGTCCAGAGAAAGCTTGTTCTAGAAACAGTGCTGATGGTGCAAATCCTGCTTACTGGATAGATTCTGACAAAATAAATGATGAAGAGATAACATGGATGTAACTTGTAATCTACAAGGATTTTGGAGAAAAATCTTAGATTTTGCGTGTAGACTAATGGATTTTTAGTAGAATCATGATGCAGCCACAGGAGGCTGATGGGGGAGGGCGCTAAGAGGTCTTAGTGAGCTTCTGCTCTGAAACACAACCAAACATAAGCTACTACTCCACATCCTCACCATGGACTCCACAGAAGTAGAACTTAGGGTTGTGCTAGGAAGATCAAATAGGATAAGGTATCTAAGTATCATAAGTGACAAGACAAACTGACTTTAGAAACCTTATTTTGAGCATTTGGGTTCAAGGGTCTCAGGGCTATAAAGAAGCTGGATGAAGCACAGTGGAAGGTCTAGTCAATAAACAAGAGGTACCAGTTTCAACAGGATTACCTTGTTTACACAAGCTAGGCAGCCGAGTGCTGAACAAAGCATCTTCTCCCAACTGGCGCTTCTCAGCCCTGATTGATGGGGACACAGACCATTCTAGTCTCCCTCACCTGAAAGACTTTGCCTTGCATATGCTCTGGAGTCCTTGAGGATAAAGTGTCTCAGCTGAAATGCCTTGCAGATCTTTAGTCCCAAATACCTGCAGGAATTTTTAATTAGTTTTGAAAGTTTTTAATACAGCTTCATAGCTGGTGCATGTCCACTTAAATCTCAAAGTTCAGACATTACAAGGCCAGTTAAGGACAGATTATTGGCCTTAAAGCTGAATTTCCTGCTGCTCTGTCAGTTCATGTTGCATCCTGAAGCAATAAAATGAGAGGTGAAATACTTGATGAGGATTATCTCTTCAACAGAGCAAGTAAGCCTATGGGTGAAACTTTCTTCCTGGGAAGGGACAAGAGTATTTGGGAGCACTAAGGATGTAGTGTTAGTATTGCAACCTGTGTTTCTACCTTATAGATCTCTTCTGTGTTTTCTCAGAACATGGTTGTTTGTGCTTTGGGGGAAGGCACAAAGGTCACTATAAGTAAGGACTAGTTTTCTAGTAGCTTGAATCATAGATCTGTCTACAAACAACATCTAGTTTGGTTGATGGAAGGTAAACTCTTGATCTGACGCTTGTTCTTCCATGTTTCTCATGGATGGGGCATTCCTATAATATGCTTTCAAGATCATCATAGAGATGTGAAATTAGAGAAATCCTGGTCAGGATTACTTTATAGTCTGGTTTTAGGAGCAGTAATGTCACTTCTAATAAAGTACTTCTAACATATATTGTAAGTATGTGTAACTACAATTACCAATAGGGAAACTTACCGCAGAACAGTCATCCGTGAAACTTCACTAGCTGTTTAGTAGGACATCTACTGAAGAAGCTGCAGTGGAGCTCTGAAAATCCTGGTTAATCCTTTCTAATGTCTGATATAGATCTTTCTGTACCACCCTTTTAGATTGGAGTCTTGATTAGTTATTCATTGCCTTTCTTGCTGCATATATGAAGGAGAGCTGGTGGCCTTTGTAATGACTAATCTTGAAGGCAAGAGTAACCCTTATACTAAGCAGTATGCTTCATAATACCTAACAGGACTGAAACTGCTGTAAAAGAGCCTACCCTCATTAGGTGCAAGCGGAATTTTTATCAGTCTTCTCATAACACATAATGAACATAATTTGCATCTCTTACAAGAGGCAGCATGGAGTGACTCTTGTGACAGTTACTGTTACTACAATTTATGGAATGAGAGGTATAATCTCTGAGGGCTAGGTGGAGTGTTCTTCAAATACTGCTGAAATGAATATTTAATGATGGGCTTCTTATGGGATAATCAGGCTGGGTAAGCAAACTGCAGCACTCAATGGTGTGGCCGTGACTACCTATTTTTAGGTTGCGTGAATACAAGAATAATACAGGAAAATCTTATTTCTCATACAGATATATTTATGAACAGGTAAGAAAACACAGTTCAGCATAAACTATGCAGAACATATGTAATCTGTCTCAGTACAGCTTGCACACACCCAAACTGCGAAGGGGGATAACTGTGCCAGCAGTGGACAGTTAACAGCATGCAGCTGAAATAACCTATGATAACAGCTTCAATATGTGTCAAGTTCCTGCTCTGAGAAGGAGGGGTGAAAAGCATGGTTGTTGGCAAGAGTCCTTTACTATACTAACTAACAAGAAGATCAGAAACAGGTCTTCCAGGCAGGAGGGTCTTAGAAGTGCAGTTGGAAATGAAGTGTTTGATTTGTTGTCCAGTTCAAACTCAGTTGCATCTGAGTAAACACTAGCTGCCTTGAATAACAACTTCTTTGCTTCCAGGTTGTTTGGTATCTTCAGTGAGTCCCAACAAGGAGTATTGATAGAAGATTGAGCTGTAGGCACTGCAGGTACATGGCTTGAGATTCCTCATCCTGTGAGTAGTCAGGTGATGCTTTCTTTAGCCATGGCTAGAACAGACTGATGAGCTCTGGCTCGGGTGCACCGATTTATGAGGCTTCAGAACAGGGAATTGGAGAGAGTGGTGTAGAAGAGTGGCCCCTTAGCATATTGCAAAATATTCTACCTTTCTGTAAGACTTATAGGAAGAAAACTTTTGTGGATAATACCAGTGTATAATTTAATAATAAATCTGTGTTACCAAATTAATCACTCTATCAAGAAAAGGCATACTGGGATACCTGTCAATTTCTTTCTAAAGGAAGGATTTGGAGTTGAGATGCTGTTATTGCTCATACTAAAAGTGAAGAGGGTTCTTAATCCAAAAAAATGAATAGGTTGGAATGCTAGATAGTGAACAGAGATTGGAAAGGCTGGTATCAAGACTCAC